GCACTTCTTTAAGTTCCTTTGGCAAAAAGCCCCAGGTAACTAACTTTTAATTTTCTCCACCATCTCTAATTTAATGTTCTGATCATATTACAGAGTGTGACTTAAACAAAGACTACATTTTTTACTACTCTGCTTTCACAACCTTGAACCCACACACCTATCTCTATGGTTACTTTTGTACAGTGTTCACTAAGATTTAGTGTGCTGCCCTCCGGCCCTCCTCCATGAGGCCATAAACCACATGTAAGAGGTAAGAAGGCAGGATTATACACAGGACAAAAGTAAACAGTAACCATGAGTTCACTAACCCACAACTGTTTGCCTATGTTTTATTTGGTGGAAGAAACTCTCATTAAATCTTGTTTTCAATACAGTGAGTTGTCACTTACATGTATCTATCACAAAAAAAGACAAGAAGCTCCTCAAGTGATATCTTGAAAGACAACAGTATTTTAAGTTTATAGCTACTAGCTGTTACCTCCCACTTTCAGCAGATTGTATTGCATACTGTGTGATAAATTATAAAATGCATCATGACCCCTAAGGCATCTTACATTTATAATCTTGTGCGTGTGTGTGTGTGTGTGTGAGTGATATTTTGCTAGCATCTGGGAATAAAAAGATATATTAAACATAAAAAGATACAGTAAAACTATTTTAGAATGTGTGTGTTGTTCAGGTTGCACAGGGTAGAAAGATAGAAGACATAAGGGAAATATAGATATATGCACAAATATTTATAATGAAAATTGAAAGGTGCCAAAATACAAGTATATCTATTCTTTAATTTCTTGAGGATAAGGTCCTTGATAATTTCAGTACATTCATTTTCTACTTTCAGGCTGAGCACAGTGCCAGGTAAATAATAATTTAATATATACTTGTTAAATTAATGAGTGAACGCATGTATGTAGGAACAAGATGTTACAGGAATATAGAAATGGCATTCCTGATATTTTGGGGATCATGGGAGTGGATTAGTTGGTGAAGGAGTCAGGGGGTAGAGGTTTGTAGCAGAGGCTGCTAATTGTTCCCTAGTACCCAGTCTCCCCTTCCTTTATAGCAATAGGTCCCTAGATTTTTAGCTGCACACTTACCATCCTCCTTTACTGTTAGGTATGCCACATGGCTAAGTTTTGACCAATGAAAAGTCAGAAAAGGTGATGTATGTATCTTTTAGGTCCCATTCTTAAGAAAAATAGGTGTGTCTTCTATTTCTTCTTATGTGTGTGTGTGTGTTTTTAACTTTAAGATTTTGCTTATTTTAAGCAAGAGGGGGAGGGAGGGAGCAAAACGTCGATGTGTGAGAGAAACATCGATTGGTTGCCTTCTAAACATCTCCAACAGCAGACTGGGCCCGCAACCCAAGCATGTACCCTGACTGGGAATCAAACTGGCGACCTTTCTGACCAACTGAGCCACATTGGTCAGGACTCCTTTTCCTCTTTATTCCCATAGTTACTGGCTATAAATGGACATGCTGGCAAGCCATCTTGGACTAAGCTGACAAGGGCAAAGCCCTCACATGCAGCCTAAAATAGGAGTCTGGGTGCCAGATGACTTTGTAGAGGACAGCCACTAGCCAATAGGACTTAAGTGAGAAATCGACTTCACTTTTATTGAAGCTAGTGGTTATTTTGCAGAGACTAAATTTGCATTCTAAGACGAGTGTCAGAAAGTCTTTTATAGAAGTGCTGCTTGTACTGACTTTCAAAGATTGGGGAGGCATTCACAGAGACGGACAAAAAGGGAAGCGCTTTCAGGGTTGAGGGAACAGCATGTGTAAAGATATGGAAGTTTGGAGAATGGCTTTGGGATGCCAAGCATGAAGCTGGAAAGGCAGACAAGGGCCAGATCACAGAGGACCCTGTCTGCATTGCTGAAAGGTTTATATTTTTTTCTGACAGACAAGAAGATACTGCATGGTAGATGTGCAGGAGAGAGAAAAGAAGATTCAGGTCTCACAACTCACATGCAAAATAAGCCAGGATAATTAATCTGTTTTGTAGAAAGGAAGAAAAAAATCCAGAGAAGGTAAAGGACGTTTCCAAGCCAGAGACAGAGGCGGAATTAGAACCAGTATTTTTTGAAGTTATACCAGAGTTTTCAAAATGTGGTCTTTATGCTGACGGTATGAAAATAACTTGGGTTGCCTGCCAAAACTGCAAATTCCTGGGTTCCACTCCAGATCTACTCAGAATCTCTGAGGATGGGTTTCAGGGATTTGCATTTTTAACAAGGACTTCAGGTGCTTGAAAGTTAAAAACCACTGAACTATACCAGTCTACCTCAAAAATATTTCTAAGTGTTTATAAACAAGCTAAGTACATGGACTCTAGTAAAAGTCTTTCAAATGCTAGTTCAGCACACTAGCTTTCTCTGTAATCTCATACGTTCTGGGATCTAAAGAATAAAGCTTTATAAATAAAACTTGTGAGGGGAAAAGGAGGAACTAATGATTTCTGAGCACTAGCGGAGGTTGGTGGAGGGAGGTATGGGGAAGATAAATGAATGGTGATGGAAGGAGACTTGACTTGGGTGGTGAATACACAATACAGTGTATATATGATGTTTTGTGGAATTGTGCATCTGAAACCTGTATAATTTTGTTAACCAGTGTCTCACCAATAAAGTCAATATAAAGGAAAAAAAATTATTGAGCACTTACTACTTTCCAGACACTCTTCTTGACACATATCATCTCAGTAAATCTCTACAAACATCCTCAAAGGTAGGCACTACAGGCATACCCTCTTATCCATGGTTTCTCTTTCCAAAGTTTCATTTACCTGCAGTCAACAGTGATCTAATGGTGGAAAATTCGAGAAATAAACAATGTGTAAGTTTACAATTGCATGCCTTTCTAAATAGTGTGATGAAATCTCACTGTCTTGGTTTGTCCCAACTGGGATGTGAATCATCCCTTTGTTCAGTGGATCCACACTGCGCACACTCCCCGCCTTTTAGTCACTTAGTAGCCATATAGGTTTTCAGATCAACTGTCACGTTATCTCAGTGCTTGAGTTTAAGTAACCCTTATTTTACTTCATAGTGATTTCAAAGTGCAAGAGTAGCGATGCTGGCAATTTAGATATGCCAAAGAGAAGGCGTTAAATGCTTCCTTTAAGTGAAAAGGTGAATGTTCTGTACTTGGTGAGGAAAGAAAAGAAATTATATACTGAGGTTGTTAATATCTACTGTAAGAACAAATCTTCTATCCATGAAACTGTAAAGAAGGAAAAAGAAACTCATGCTAGTTTTGCTGTCATACCTCAAACTGCAAAATTTATAGCCACATATTACATATAGTGATATTTAAATGTGACTCAGTACTATCTATGGTTTCAGGCATTGACTGGGTATGTTGGACCATATCCTCCATGGAAAAGGAAGTACTACTGTACTATCTGCACCTTTTAGATACATAAAGTGAGGCCAGGCAGTGTTAAAGACTTGCCTAAGATTACACAGATGTAAATTTATCAAATGCCAAAGTCTATCCCTTCCTGTTTAGCATACCAAGGGAAGGACTAGAGAACACAATGCAGAATCCTGAGTATCCATAATAATGTTAGTGAATATGCAAGCTGTTTATTTTCCAGATTGGACTACTTCTACGAAGTAGTTGGACAAATATCTGAGGTTCCTGAACAGTAACCCGGAGGGTCTCTAGGATTATTTAACTAGAGTATATTTAGCATGCTTTTTGCTAAGTTTAGGCCTTGCATTTGCAAGCTCTTCATGTGACTGCTTGATCTCAGTCCAAAATTATGAATTTCACTCAACTTGCAGACTTTTATTTCTTTCTCTTTATGGAGAAAATGGAGACCAGGTATCTAGCAGATTTTTTTTCCTTTTAAATAGACATTAGCATCTATTTTATGGATTTGTTTAAAAGTTTTAAATTTTTTCCTACTTGAAACATAATTTATCAAGTTTCTTTCAAAATTCAATGCCCAATTCTGTTTTATAAAGGTTCTTCTAAACCAGGATATGTGAAGTACATATATGTGACATTTCATTGCATGATCTTTGTGTATTCATGTTTGCATTAGTTCATTGAATTTCACAGTAGGAGAAATTAGAGTGCAAAAAATCCAACTGGCATTAAAATTATTAGACTACCAGATATAGTGAAATTCCCTGGCGAAGTTTCAAAGTGACAATAGGAAAAGAAAAAGCAATCTTTTCCTTTCCTTTTCACTTTTAGAAGAGGCAATTCTGGAGATAACAAAATATGTTAAAAGACCATCAATTAAGTGTTTAAAATGCACAGAAAACAATAAATTTAATCTCAGTCATTTGGCTTTATTCTAGAAATCAACAGTATTTTTCCACTACATTTATGATTTTTATTTGATGCAGGTTTCGCTCTAGGGCTCCCAAAAATTAAAGTTGCCATATTAAAATCTCTGGGGACGTTTACATATGTTCTCAGTTGCATTCTATAATTTGAAAGGTGGGGCGAATTTGATTTTTTTTCCAGGTCCGTTTCAGCAACGACTTTCTTTGCAGGCAACTTCTGGAACGGAAGGATGCGGTCTTAAATTGGCAAAGATCTTTAACTTACCCTGAAAGAGTCCGTCTAACGTGTTATCTACTGTTGTTTAAAAAAACACGGAATAAAGTAAGGCTCTTCTTTTTTTCCCTTTTCTTCAGCAGTGGTACACTCATCTGTGTTAGCATTTCCTGCGCCCCTGCCAAACCCCGCTAAGCTGGGTATTGTCGGCGACACAAAATTCTGGCTTTCTAGGAGACCATAGCGGGTGTGTAGGGAAATAAAGACCATTTGCGATTGCGGGAAGCCGAGGACCCTCGGAGCCGTGCAAAGGGCCTTCGAACTCAGGGGTTGGAGATCGGGGGGCGGCTGGCACAGGTGCCCGGAGATGCGGGAGGAAGAGCAACTCGCGGATGGAGAGGCTGCACTGGCCAAATCCCGCGGGAACTGCCCTCGGGCCGCGGCCGCTCCTCCCACCGCCCCGTGCAGCCGGCTCTCGGTTGCTATGGAGACATGGGTGCTGGGCTGGCAGACTACCGGAGGCGGAGGAGGCGTACCTTCCGCGCCCTGAGCCGGCGGGTCCTTCGGCTCTGCGTTCCAGGTCGCTTAGCTGCAACGCCCGGGACCGGTGACTGCGCGAGGCCCCGGAGAGGCACTGCGGCGCGTCCACCTTCCGGAAACCCCAGTCAAGAGAGCGCCGGAGGCCCTGGCCCCCTACCCTGAACCCGGCTGGTGGGAGAGCCAAACGGCCTTCGCTAGCCTCCGTCGCCGCTCTGCCGTCCCGGGGCTCCCGAGGGCGCTGTTCCAGACACCAGCCTTCGGTGGCCAAAGTGCCGCATCTCTGTCCCCACAGCCCCGTGAAACATCCGCTCTCTGGGGTAAAGAAGGATTCGTGGGAGCTGGAGAAAGGAGTTCCCGTGGGGCCGTAGACACCGGTCTTTGGGGAGGTGTGCCCGCCAGCCGGCCTGGGGGAGGGGTCGCCTGTCGCCCGTGGGACGATTCCCCAGCTCTCGCTCCCTCTCTTCCCTTTTGAGTGTGTGGAGGTTTCTTGGGGCTTGTTCGGCTCGAAGTCTAGGATACGCAGGGCGGCCAATAAACGTCACCTCTTAGCCTTTAAGCCACAGCAGCGGGGGACACCAGGTGCAGTCCTGCAGAGAGTGATTTACTGAGACAACGTGGTTCTTTTCACAGAGGCGATGCTTCAGGTACAAGGGAAACCATTTCCTGGAACATCTGAATTGTAACCGGCCGTCAAGGGGCGAGCATGCTGCAGTTGAGTGAACTGCAGCTTTCGAACGAAAACGATACCGAGGAGATCACCCAACTCGCTTCCCTGGCACTGTCAGAGGATGAAACATCCAGCGAAAAAAACTCCAGCAGTATCCCCGAAAAAGCTGGTTATCCGGACCCCGTTTACATTATGGCCGCGAACGTTTTTCAGGGTATTCGAGTCGAAAAGCCACCAGAGAAAGTCTTAATAAAGTATGGGAACGAACCCCTGCAGTCCTTGTCCAAGTCTGAGGATGAATCCTTTCAGCGCTCGTCCTATGAGCTGGCTTTCAGTGCCTTGAAGTGTGAGTAGTATCAGCCTTGAAGATCAGCAGTGCAAGAAAATAATGAATTTGTGCCTCATGCACTCCACGTTTTGTTTTTTATGCGTATGATTACCTTTGGTCAGGTGCAAATGTCAAGGAATTAGGAGAGTTCTAGTAAAACAAGCTCTCAGACCAGAACTGTTTTTCAGTGTAGATTTTGCCTACTACAGTGCCTTGTCCTTAAATAGATGTAATTGTCATTATATTGAGCAAGGAAACATTTCCATTAGTAGGAAGAATATGAATCCACCGAAGCACCCAATTCTAATTTCCCTTTCCTTGGGTATTTCCGTTCTCTGCGTTTACATGTTGTATTTTAGTGTATAAACTCACAAATACACATTAAAAACCCGTAACAGGGTGGGGGAAGGGAACAGGGATGGGATAAAGAAAAAAAGGTGCAATATTAAAAATGAATATCAAAATTAAATCAACCCCAATTAAGACGATCCCATTCATAGTCAATAGCTTTAATTTGGGGAGCTTGTAAGTTTATGCCTTCAAGCTTTTGTAGAATTCTGCTTTTCTGGTTTTCCTTAGAGTTTGAGATGCCATGTTTCAGAGTCTCTCCGTGGTAATTAATTGATAACTTCGAAGTGTGGAGCTGATCCCAGGACAGAACCAAATAATCTTATTATGAGAGCAAGCAATCAAAGGGTCTGGAGACATTTGTTTTTTGTACTAGTTATGAACTTCAATATAATATCGTATTTTACATTGTAGTATAAACTATAAAGTTTATATTGGCTTGTAAACTGACAGAATATAGTTACAAAAAGAAGTTCCAAAAATGTTTGGAGTTTTAGCAGCATGGTTGAAATGATAACCATATGGCTTCCTAAAGAGACAACTTTAGGAAAAATGGGAAAACCTCATTTGCTTATATATTTTTAGTATTACTACTTCCTGGGCCTTGCACATCCTTGCACATAGGTTGTTAACAATTGTTCAATGGAATTAAAATGTCTAATTAATGTCTTAGACATGATTATATTATTTTCTGTTTTCTGTTTAGATGAGGTAGTTAAAATCTGAAGCCAGGAATTTGTCATCACAGAGAAAAATTTGTTCGATGTTAAGAGGCAAATTCCCTTTAGTTTTCATATTCTTTTCTCCTGCTTGTGATTTTTTTTCTTTTAAAATCTGTGTTAACCATTTTCCTCTTCCAATTTAATCTTAATATCCAACTGATTAGTCAAATGAACATTTTTACATTTCTCCCTGCAAGAATGAAATGCAGACTGGGCATCTATGTTGATTCGTTAGTATTTAATGTTAATGCCAAAACTATTATAGACGATTTGTTTTCCTAATAGAATATTGACTCTTACCTTTAGAAATCAATACTAAAATTCTGAAATTATCTTATATAAAATTATGCACAAATTAGATTGTCATACTGTGGTAACGTGTGTCGTAAATTATCTTTTTTTTCTCCGAATCTTTATTTTTGCTTTATGAAAGGGTCTTGTTACTATTTGATATTTTGTAATAACCCAAAAAATCCCATTCAGATAAATTATTGTCACAGATCTTTTCAAACCTGCTTTTGCTTGAAATTTTCATTTTTGTAAGTTCAAATTCTAAAGTAGGATGGTTTTGGTTGTTTACTTGGTACAAATATTATTTTCGTATAATAATGTATTGCTTAAGTTATCATCTGAATAATTTTATTCAGGTTGAATTAAACTAGAATTCCTAAATGCAGTGGGTTTCCAAGATAATTAAGAGCCTGATATTCTGCTTTAAAATATTGGAAGCTCTTGTTATTTCACATTTATGTTCTGCATCATCAATACTTTAACATATTATTTTGTAAGCTCTTATTTGGTTTATATAGTATAGATTCAGGGAATCACAGTTCAGAAAAGAAAACTCAGAATTTCTTTCCTAAGGTTTTATAGGAGCAGGAAAGCTAAAAAGGTTAATGTACAAGCTAAAGAGAGCTTGGGTAATGGTCCTTTTTTCTGGTGAATTTCTGATAGGTAATTAGAGTATACTACCTTTTTTTTTTTTTTTTTAATGTTGAGGAAGTGCAGGAGAGAAATAAAGTGTCAGAGAAAATCCCTTAATATACAAATGTTAAGTATATTCCTTTGGTTGGGTTTTATGTTTTCCAGTTTTATTGTTTGCTCCTTCGATGATGTCCTTTGTATATAAGCTCTATCAAAGCAGAGAGTGTATTTATCTGATTAACCTTTTAAAGATTAAAAGGGCTCAGAATAATGTTTTTTGAAATGAAGACAACCACTACTTCTGCTTTACTAAATAGCCCCAAGGTCACTTTTCTGCTAAAGCAGATCATGAAGAGTAGCCTATTCCTGTTAACTTTGACTTCTGTCAAAGAAGTAGAGTACTGGCAGCTAATTTGTTTTTTCGAAGAATCTCTGAATGTTTCAAGGAATACTAAATATTTTAAAAGAAGAAAACCTGGCAAAATGATTTCTTAAGAATTTTTTTTTTTAAAGAACGAACTTGAAAGATATGTCCCTGTAATTGTGATCTTATTGGTGGCTTAATTCTGTTCCCAACCTCTCTAGGTGTATATAGTAGTTGGTAAATTTTCAGTGCCATGCACTGACTGTGGCATTAATGTGGTCATTTCAGAATCATCTAATCGGTCAGTGAAAAACTCTGTAAGTGCTTAATGTATGGTTTGAGAACTAGTTGTTGTTAGTTAGGGGTCCCCAAGACCAACCTCGGGGTCAGTGATTTCACTAGAAGGACTCATAGAACTCAGCTAAGCAGTTATACTCATGGTTAGTTTATTAACGTGAAAGGTTAGAGATTAAAATCAGCACCAGAAAAAAGGTACACAGGGCAGAGCCCAGGAGAGACCAGGCTCAAGCTTAGTATTGTCCCTTCCCAGTGGAGTCTTATGGATAGTCTTAATTCACCTAGCAACAATGTATGACAACATGAATGAAGTGTTACCAACCAGGGAAGCTCGCCCAAGCCTTGCTGTCCAGGGTTTTTACTGGGGGTCAGACATGAAGAGATGGAATGCCCTGTGGTTGACTTTACTCAATCTCTTGCTTTTCCAAAAGTGAAACTTTTACCGTGTGGCCCAAGGACCCAGGTGAAAAACACTTTTATCAGGCAAGATATTCCAAGAGCTTGTAGAGGTTATCTTCCAGGAACCAGTCAAGGGCCAAACCATTCTTTGGAATGTGCAGTGTTTAGCCACCCAGTCCTGCTGAGTTAATTCTTGTTTGCACCGTGACTCATTAGAAAAATGATCTAGATCAATAACCTCTTAAGCTCTCTGGCTGTCACCTAAGAAGTTAAAGCAATTCTCTTGAATGACAATAATAATACATTATACTTGCATAGCTCTTTGTAATTCACAAAACAATTTACCTCATTTGATAACACCAGTTCTTTGAGATGAAACATCTCATTTTGCAGGTAAAAAAAATTGAGGGCAGCTCAAGAAGAGATTAAATGATGTACCTAAGGAATCAAGCAGGAAGAAGGATAAAGAAAGGAAGTGTATCATCTGGCTGAGAGGGTGGTAGAATATCAACCCCATACCTAATTCTAGTTTTTTATTGTTCCGCATTGTTTTATTTTAACTGTATAATGATTTTCTATTTGCTGATGCCAGCTTCTTTCTCCTGCATTTACTTCTCTCAAATATTCTTTCAAAAATATTAGTGGCCATTCTTTTTTAATTTTGCCCCAAAGACTTAATTTTGTTGTTTTCTTCCTTCCATACATGTAAAAACCCCATCTATTTCTATTTTATAATTATAGGAGGACTTTGATATTCTTGAAGTGAAGATTCTAGAGGTCTCTCATATGAAGGACACTATAAACATGATAAAAACAGACAGGGAGAACCTAAGGGAGAGTCAAAAGAAGAAACATCTTCCATCTTTTTTTTCCCAAGAATAGGACTATATGAGTTTTAGGGGGTTCAATAAATAGCAGTCCTTCTTTACACTTCACTTGAGAACCAGTTAAGAGAGAGGAAAAAGATATTTTGTGGATATTGCTTTAGATCTTCAGTCAAGTGGCTTGCAAATATTTTACTCCTGAATTAGGGACTTCCCATCTAACCCATGGCACAGCTGAAGAAGTACAGAGATCCCTCCACCCCAACTCATGGAAAGTGTATCATGTGGCAAAGAACAGCCTGGAATTCATGCACACCTGCAGACAAGCTGGGAGACGGGCAGGGTAGATGGGGAGAGAGGGAAAGAGGGGGGGGAGGGGAAGAGATATATTCCAGTTCCTTCTTCCAATATCACTGATCAAATAAACTCAATTTTTCTTTCATAAGGAGTGGTGCGCAAGAGATAGGGAGAGTGCAGGAATGTTTCTCTAGGGACGGCCTTAACATGAATGGAGATTAAGAATTTACTTCAACAGATTAAAGAGAAGAGCCTTTAATTAGTGGGAGGCAGGAATAATTGGAGGTAATGTGCTGAAATAGGATAGGATAGCTGAGGTTTGCAGTCTTCAAGTAAATCCTGATTACCCAAATCGGGCATTAGCAGTGTGTTTTATTTAGCCACTCTGGATGGTCATAAGAGTAAGATGAGAAAAGGCAGCATAATGTGGTGGTGAAGAGCCTGCCAGATTTGGATTTGAGTCCCTGATCTGTCACTTGCTGTATGACTGTGAACATCTGATTTAACTTTGATGCCAGATTGGATTTGAGTCCCTGATCTGTCACTTGCTGTATGACTGTGAACATCTGATTTAACCATTTTATGTCTCATTTCCTAATCTCTGAAATGGATTAATGATGGTACCTAGTTCACAGGGTGGTTGTGAGAGTTAAATGAATTAATATGTGGAAAGCACTTAGAACAATGTATAGCATAGAAAGCACTATCTAAAATACACAACTATTATTAATGTGGATATTACTATGTGAGAATGTTATGTATATTGTAGATATACAATGGTAATAATACATTCTGCACAATATCAAAGGCAGCCCAAAGACAGTATCAGTTTTGACAAGAGCTCTAGGGAGGAAAATACATTGTTGGCAAAATTGTGTTGTCTTCTTTTTGTTCATTCTGCCTCTCCTATTTCTTAGGAGTCCAGCAGCACCTCCATTGCTCAAAGTTCTACAGCCTATGCAGGTCTGCTACCTTAGAAGCCCTTCATTCTTTTGATGACTGTATTTTCTGTGACAAAAATTGGGATTCATGCTGAGAAACTGTAAAGTAGATAGGAACTAGTTTGCAAGTATTAAGGGTGTGAAACTCTAAACTTCATTTTTCTTATATGAGAAATGGGGATATGGATAATGCTTCCCAAAGGATTTTCTATGAAAATTGTGTTCCCAAGTTAGTCGCTTCTTTTTCCTTTTCCCATCTCCCAAATGAACACTGAAATTCAGTGTGTACTGTGCAAATAGTAGGTTACTCATAAATGTTGAATTAAAGCTAGCCCAGCTTTCTGTTCAACTTATTAAAGTATTTGTTATAAGATGTATATGTGATTTAAGTAGTTATAACAAAAGGAACACTGGTAACCTGCAGAGATTTTTAAATATGTTCACTTGATTCCACTCTACTTTGCCATCATCTCTCCGCTTGGAATGCTCTCTCCTCATAGATCTTTACATGGCTAATTCCTTGTAGTTTGGGTCTTAACATGTTTTCACATTTTACCAATGTCTTGACTAGTGAGTTCCGCCAACTATTTAAGAAATAATATCAATCTAAAATAAACTCTTCAAGAGAACAGTGGAAGAAGGAAATCTTCCCACTCATAAGGCAAACATAACCCTGATACCAACATTGACAAGGATATCACAAGAAGTTATAGACCATTTATCATGAACTTAAATGAAGAAAAATCATAAATCAAATATTAGCAAATTCAATCCAGCAATACACAAAAAGATAAGACATTATGAATTAGATCTTTAATGTTTTTCAAAAGATGTAAGTTAGAGGTTGGAATTTCTTTCTTACTACTTTGACTATTCAGATAATGCACCTTTGGCTGTGATTCCATGTGGTGCCTGGGCCATTAGGGTCCAGCTTAATAAAGATGGAAAGTATTTCATCATGTCATTGTAATTTAAGTCTTTATCAAAAATCAAAATATATTTTATATATGAAAGTAAATGTATTTCATGACATTGCCTAAAGTGTGTTTTGATTCCAAAGTGTTCGTTTTCTTTAGTAACAGACATTTTCCTTATCTTGCAGATCAAGATATTTTGGAAAGTATATTAATAGATAGCTGTATCTTTCCAAGCACTACAATAGTAAGTAAACAACTTTTCTAAAATTAGCTGTGTCTATGACCATGATTTAGAAAGTATGAAAAGACTGTAGGTTTAAGCAATAACTAGTTTGCTAAATGCTGACATCTCTTCAAAGTATATACTTAACTCTTTTCTACTTCTAATGCTTCTAATACTGACCCTAGTCCTTTTATTTAGAGGAATATGTCAAAAATTGTCTTCTTTGGAAAGATTTATTTTTTTCTAGACTTTCTTTTTCTATTTTGAAGTCTTTAGCTCCCAATCCAACCTATGTAAAACTGGTCATATTCCTGCCCTCTTATGAAAAATAATGGAATAGAAAATGTTGCTATTAGATATTGGTTATATACTTTTCTTTTTGTGTTTCCCTTTGTAGCCAGATCATTTGAGCAGTCTAATTATTGTGATGCTGTATGATTTCCAAGATAGAAAATTTCAAGCTCGTCTCCTTTCTGATAATGAGGAGTCCATAGCAGAAGTTCAAGTAGTAGAGAACCTTCTTAACAGGTAATTGTAAAAGTGAAAAGGATATTTTATATGACATCATTATTAGTATTTTCATTGGCAGAACTCTATGAAGTATAATGTATAGATGAGTGTTAAAATTTATAGAGAAAAAAAATAAAAGTTCTTAAGTGTCCTAAGTTCCTTTAAAACCAGACTTGAACAAGTTAAATATTCTGTTTAAAATCAAGTTGTTTTAAAAGCTTGAACTGTAAGATCCAACTTGTATTTGGAAAATCATGAAAAATTACTAATAATTTTTGCACATACATAAATTAAACTTCATTTGAAATAGCTATTATTTATTTACTTAGTTTTGTGTATAGTTCTTTTTAAAAAAATCTAACATATGAAATGAGAATTCCAACAGTAGATAAGAATCCACTGCTTTGACAAATTGAAAAAAAAATTTTTTTCTTAGTTAAGAACAAACATGTTTTAATTTTTTTTCTTTTTATCCTAAATATTAGCAGAAACCTACTATGGAGATGATAATAAAAAGGTTATTGAATTAAATTAATGCATGTAAAACGCTTAGATTAGAGCAGACACACAGTAAATGGTCAATAAATGTCAAGTGGTACCATTATCAGGGCTTTTATTATGCTGTTGAACCTTAATAGAGAGCACATACAGCAACAACAGCAATCTTGCAGGAAGATTTTTTTATCTAATAAATCATTTGAAACAGTTGGCAGTATGATATTTTATATTGTTCTGGGACATTCAGGCGGTTTCATTTAAATTATTGAAGGCTGAAACCAGAAGATTCAGGTAATGGAGAATATTAATGGCTTACATTTATTGAGCTCTTAATATGTATCAGTTGCTTTTTTTTAACCTTAAACTTCTACACATTTGCATTATTTATGGGTTGTGATTTCGATTAAGTCTACATTCAACCTCTTTATGTAACTCCATTATGTGGTAGATACTGTTACTAACATTTATTATTACACATGGGAAAATGAAGGCACAGAGAAGTTAAAGGAACCAACCTTCTGTCATAGAGATAAAAAGGGGAGTAGTCAGAATTTAAATTTCAAGAAGTCTGACTCCAGAGCCCAAGTTTTAACCATTTATATGCTACCACTCCTTAAACTTAGATAGTGTGGCTTGGCTGAAGTGCTCTGGAAGATTCCTGTCTCCTGTCAGTTGTAGCCCTGAGAAATTGTGGGATGAAGTCTTAAGCTTAGGAATTACATAACTACAATTTCACATATAAAAAGAAAGCTCTGGCTGTATGTGCGATGGGGATGATGGTAAAAAGAGATAATAGAGCAATTTGCTGTGATAACATTCAAAATGTAGTAGGAGATGACTTCTGGATCAAGAATGTTGGGGAAGGCTGTTTTTGCTTCCATTTTCATCATCACAGTCTGCCTTACCGCTATGGAAGAAGTTTTTTTCACTAGCCACACAATATTTCATTTATAGAAGTAATATGTCTGGTTATTCTAATGATATTTAAATCCGGTCTTTATCCTCAATCTGATATTGTATGTTTATATAAAATCTTTATAACTGTATATATACTTTAAATGACTTTTTATGTGATTAAGTTGTATTAAAATTCATAGTCCGTAATGTTTGTTATCTGGATATTTGGAAAATTATTTCTCCCTGTACTTAGCCCATACACACAACACATATTTTTCTAGGTTTTGTATCTCTAATCTTTATATATCATGATTAAATAATACAGTCAATGAATTTATTATGGTAAATTTGAGCTGCATAAGTATTTGGAAGGACTGTTTAATCAAAAACAATCTGCATGTAGAAACATTTCACAGTATATAAGACAGAACAGTTACTCATCCCCTTTATATTTATTCTTTTATGTGCATTAATGTATTATGTAATTGCTTTTAGTGTCCCTTGCTGTAGTTCTGTGACATTAGGACTACACAAGTCTAATTTTATTGTAGCCCTAGGAGACTTCCCTCTCTCCAAGAGCCTCTGTGTTTGTTCTCTCTTTCTTTCTTCCTCCCCCACCCCCTCATGCATGTACACATATTCACACATAAAATTCTTATGTGAAAAGTTCTCATTCTACTGAGTAAATGATCTTAATTTTATTAAGCTTTCAGCAGCCACACACACCACTCTGGTTGTACTTAACTCTTTTGTGGAATCTCTTCCCCACTTCTCATTCAAGGTTGTCCTTGAGGTTTATCATTCAATTAGATTCCTACTATGAAAATGATATGAATATAGGTCAAGAATAAGTCCTCTATTCTCATTTATTAAAAGTTGGCGCTATGAGCTCAAGAAAAATGATGGGGTCTTCGTGGTCATACTAACCAATTCTTGTTTTTCTTTTTTGTTTGGAACTGTAAGGCATGGGATAATCAGAACTAGGAAGGGCTTGATACAGATTCATGAAAGTTCCTTAATCTTTTCAAGACTACACTGTCGCCATCTTGAGGTCACACAGCTAGTAAGTGACAGAACCTGAACTTACCTTCAGATTTGTCTGACTATAAATCCTACACCTCTTTCACTGCATCAAATTTGTCTGTCAGCTGGCAATTAGTAAGTATCTGAGGAGATGCACAACTATACTGGAGCAGCACAAACTGAAAAGAGGAAGCAGGATTATTGGATTTCTATTTTCAAATATGGCAAATTTTTATTTTAGACTACAAAAGTTTGAAATAGATTTACCAAGGGATTTGTTAAAATTTGAAATAGAATTTCTTAATGTTTCTAGTAGAAAATTGATACTCTTGTCTTCAATGCAATAATCACCAAGAATGGGTTTTCTATCTCTAGTTTTAAGACAAAACTGGCGGCAGCATTGGCAAGATGTCGTATCAAACATGATGCCCTTTCAATATACCACATTCTTCCAGAAACAGTTAGGAACCAGGAGCAAAGGGCTTCCACTTTGCCACTTTATGCTTGGATAAATACTTGTAAAATCAGGTAACAGTTTTAATCAAATTCTTTATTCATATTTCAAGTTGCTAACCTTTCAAAATAATGTGATAAGAAATATTACCTTTTTAATGAGTGGGGGCACATCTAGGGGAGTAATTGAAGAATCATAATTTAGTTCAGAATCTTATTACCAAAATATGAAAGATAATCACATAAATATATTAACTGTCAATATCTTTTCTGTCAATATCTTTTAACTTATTGTTGCCTAAAATTGCAAGTTCCATTTGCTGCAGTATATGCAGTGGTAATTTTTTACTGTAGGAAAAGATGCTAGTGTTAAATACATTTTTAATGTATTATATTTGTAGCTACAACTTGATATTGTATATTTACAGCCTTGAAGAAGTTTACCATAGTTTGAAGAAAAAAGGCTATAGTAAAGTCAAATCTGTATTGCACATTGGTGGTAAAGCCTTTTCTGTGGACAAACATTGCTATGATGTCGTAATTTTTCCATCTCATCTTAAAAGTGATCTTCTAAATATAGATCTTTTCAAAGATTATAAACTGATATTCCAGGTAAATTAACATTTATATTCATTGTCAGTCTCAAAATCCTACTTACCCTCCACTTAAAACCTAACAAACTGATTTTATATATATGGTATCAGGGAGGTTTGTAAGGTCTGATTTTTACCTTGAATAAAACGAATGCCTCTACAATCAGTGTTCCTATTATATTTTGGCATCTTTGTCCCATGTGAAGTTGTGAAGAAAATATTCTTCCCCAGATTCCAAAGATGGGGAGACTTGTATTGCTGGCAACTATATTTTTCTCTCCCAAGGGAACATTCAAGAGAAGGTACAATGATACATTTTCTTCTGTATAATTCTGCCAAAAATGCTAGTGCTGTCCTGCTTCGAGATTGTAAAATATAATACTTTCCCATAACCTCTTTAATATAGTCTTACCACTTTGATTTGTAAGAGGGGTATAATATCTATTAATACAGAAAGAGAATGTGAGATATAATGAGGTTTCAATAAAATGAAAAATAAAAGGTTCAAAAATTAAGTTAAATTAATTTTTCTGTCCTTAGATTCCAATAATCTCAGATTCACCTTGGTTTTCTAAGGTTTATCCCTTCACTGCACCCATATTCTTGGGAAGAATCTGCTGACCTTATATTAGAGTGACACTCTTTTGAATCCCAGTCTGTCTAGCCCCCTTTTATATGCTTGTCAATCATCTTTTAATCTCTATGAACTAGCAGCAATTTAGATTACAATGAAATGGGCACGAAAGAATGTCAGTAGCAGATGAATGGATTTTTGTGAATGGATAGGAATAGGAGCTAGGGCAGGACATACTAGTCTATTAATCACATATTGAGGATTTTGGCATTACCTTATCACTACATAAAAATTAAATGGTAACAGTCATAATTTAAGCTAACCAAAGCTAAATGTTGTTTTAAATTAGTTTATATTAAGTTACCTTTGTTAACTTTGTATTTTAACATATAAGATGTTTTAAAATAAAATGGGTTAGGTATGTCTTCAAGATTCCTACCAAGTACTTTCTTTTACCTAAGACAAAAAAAAAGTCAGTTCATGCTTATAGTTATATCCTTTGAAATTCTAATCATACCATATCTTGCAGGACAAATCTCGAAGTCTTGCTGTCCATTCTGTAAAGGCTTTATTAAATATGGATGATGATATCTTAATGGTCAATACAGGTTCATGGTACACAGTCGCCCATATGGCAATCTTAACAAACAATAATTCCACAAAAATATTTGTGTGTGGAGTACAATCACAAACTAAGCATCCTGACCTGAAGAACCTTTTCACAAAAATGGGATGTAAAAGTAAGTTGCAATATTGATTTGTTTGGTAATTAATGTTCTATAAGATTTAGAAATATTAAAAATGTTTGAATGTTATTTTTAATGAAAAATTCTATATGAACAATACTCTTAAGACCCTCACTAATTCATATTATAGCCATCTGTTCTTATTGCTTACAACTGGTTAAACAACTACAGTTTAAATTAATGAACATATTGGCACTTTGGTATATTGCTTCACATTTAGCCACTATATAATTTTATATTCAAATAATAATTAGTTAAAGCAAGTGGTAGAAATGATTGCCCTTTAATAAATAAGAACACAGTCATAGCAGTGCTTAAGGGACAAGAAAAATAACTAGGACTAGAAGCTAAGTCCTCTTAGGCTTCTTATTTTTAGAAAAATTTTCATTGGATAATGCTGAGACTAAAGATAATATTTTATTATAGGTTCAGTGAGGCTGAAAACTAAAAAAAATACTTTTGACAGATTCACAGGGCTAGGGAGAAAAAAAAATAGAATTCAGGGCTTTGACTCTGAAAGATAGACTGGTAAATAACCAAGATTTCATTTGGAGCACAAAAGAAGTATACCCTGGATAGTGATTAGTTCTCCAATGAACTAAAGCCCAAATGCCAGTCATCTCAATTAGCAGTTGGATTAAAGTAATCTGGGATTGCTAGTGCTCAGGTTTAGCTACCTATGAGAAGCAAAAGTATATTCTCTCTTGAAGAAAATAACATCATCCTAGGTCTCATGTTATCTCTAAGTTTTTCCTAATGCAATGTCTTTGTCATGCACTCAATTAGAAAAACCGAACCAAACAAACAGGAAGAAAAGGTATGGCTAAATTAAAGCAGAAGAAAAAACACTGTACTAGAAACAAGCCCACATAATGTCCAAATACTGAAGATATCAGATGTGGACTTCAAAGTGACTACAATTAATATGCTGATAAGATTAAATGCCAAGTTGTAGAATTTCAGCAGAAAACTAGAAACAATAACTTTTAAAATGTGTCAAAAGAAAATTCTAGAATGGAAAAATACAATATGTAAAATTAAGAAATTGATAGACTTAATAGATTAGACAGAAGTAAAGAATAAGTGAACTGATAAATCAGAAGAAAATATCCAGACTGACACATGGGAAGACAATAGCATGAATAATATGGAAGAGATTGTAAAACACACATGAGATTCAGTGATCCAGTGATCTCATATATGTTGTGATTGGGAACCCAGAAAGAGAGAAAAGGGATTGGGAAGAAACAATATTTGAAATTCAGGCTGGGAATTTCTCAAAATGGATGAAAAACATTAAGCCATAGATTTAAGAAGCCCTATGAATTCCAGTAAGAATAAATATACAGAAAATATACAGAGCACATAATAGCATAATTGCTGAAAGCCAAAGACAGAGCAGTGTTCAAAGCAACCAGGGAGATGATTCATACTACTCTTAATGGAATAATAATAAAAACTAAAAACTAACTTTTCAACAGAAACAACTGAAGCCAGAATACTATTAAATAATATCTACATAGTTCTGAAAGAAACTGCCAGACTAGATTTTCATACTCAGCAGAAATGTCCTTTTAAATAAATGTCCTTTTAAATAATTTCATTTAAATAAAATTAAATACATTCTTTGACAAACAAAATCTGAGAGTTTGTCAACAGCAGACACTGCAAAGGATATACTAAAGATTATTGTTTAAATAGGAGGAGTATCATCTCATGTAGAAAGTTGTAAATGCTAGAGGAAACAAAGAACAATAGGGAAGGCAAGTACACAGGTAAGTCTAAATAATTATAGTCTGATGTCTTTTGAGATTGTAAGCTAATGTCTTGTGGGGTTAAAAATATGTATGTTATGTGTAATTGGCACATAGAAAGAAATGGAATTAATGTGCTCTGTCATCCTTGCTTTGTTCATGAAATGGTAGAATTGGTAAATTATTAAGTCAGTGATGTGTGCAATCAATAAATACATAATAAAAAATGCATATCAACTAGCTAAGGGCAAGAGGGAAATGGAATAGGGAATTGGAATGCTAGATAACATATACAAGCATATATGTTATATGATATATATTATATGATGTATATACATGTCATGTGGTAAAACCACTCAGTGAGGAAGGAACAACAGATGGTGCTGAGACAACTGGATAGCCACTTGCAAAAGAATGAAGTGCGACCCCTACCTCAAATCATATACAGCCCTGACTGGTATGACTCAGTTGGTTGGGCATCATCTCACAAAGCAAAATGTCACAGGTTTGATTCCTGGTCAGGGTATGTGCCTGGGTTGCAGGCTTGGTCTCAGTTGGGGTGAGTACGAGAGGCAACCAATGTATATTTCTCTCTCACATCAATGTTTCTGTCCCTCTCTTTTTCCCTCCCTTTCTGTCTCTCTAAAAATAAATAAATAAAATCTTGTTAAAAAACTATATACAATAATTAACTCAAAATGGATCTAAGACCAAGGTGTAACAGGTAAAAAACTGTAAGGCTTCTAGGAGAAAACACAGGGGTATATCTTTGTTTTCTTGGATTTAGCGGTGGTTGTCTAGATATAACAACAAAAGCACAGCAACAAAAGAAAAAAAATAGATCAATTGGACTTTATACAAATTAAAAACTTCTGTTCTGTAAAAGTAAGTGAAAAAAGACAACCCACAGAATGGGAGTAAATATTTGAAAATCATATTTCTGATAAGAGGCTTGTATCTTAAATATATTAACAATTCAATAAGAAGACAAATGTCACAAATAATGGATAAAGGATCTGACTCTAATCTGACCCATCAAGGAAAAGAGATCATAATACAATTCCTATCCAATTCTAATCAAAATGACTATAGGTCCTAGAGACTGTTACAACATAAAAAGAGCCAGTATCACTGGTGAACATAGATGCTAAAATTATTGAGAAAATATTGGCAAACTGCATCCAGCAGTACATTAAAAAGATCATACACCATGATCAAGTGGGATTCATCCCAGGGATGCAAGGATGCTACAATATTTCAAGTCAATAAACGTAATACATAAAAGGAAAGACAAAAATCACATGATCATATCAATAGATGTGGAAAAGCATTTGATAAGGTACAGCACCCATTTAGGATAAAAATACTCAGCAAAGTGAGAGTAGAGGGAGCATACCTCAACATAATAAAGGCCATATATGAGAAACCTGCAGCCAACATCATACTCAATGGGCAAAAACTAAAAGCTTTCCCACTAAGATCAGGAACAAGACAACAGTGTCCACTTTCACCACTTTTTTTTAAAATAGTTTTTTTAATTTATAAATCATGTTTATTCTATTACAGTTGTCTCTATTTTTCCCCCTTTACACCCCTCCTCCCATCCCACTACCACTCCCCACTACCACAGTCAGTTCTCATTCTGTTGTCCTTGTCCATGGGTCATTCATGTTCTTTGTCTAGTCCCTTCCCCTTCTTTCCACCATTGTCTTCTTTCCCTATCCCCTCTGGCCACTTTCATTCTGCTCCATGTTTCCATGCCTGTGCTTTATTTTGTTCATTAGTTTATTTTGTTGAATAGAGTCCACTCATAGGTGAGATCATATGGTATTTGTCTTTCAACTGGCTTATTTCACTTAGCCTAATTTCTCCAATTCCATCCATGTTGTTGCAAAAGGTATGAGTTCCATCTCTCTCTCTTTCTGTTTCTTTCTTAAATGCAGATTGATTTTATTTTTTAAATGTCAAAGTTAATTATAAAATATTTAAAAAATTAAAACCATTATAAAGTATCAGCAATTAAACCAATATGACACCAGCACAGAAGTAATCAAGTAGATCAATGAAATATAATGAGCATTCTAGAGACAAACATATATGTCTAAATGTAATATATGATTACGTTGATATTTCAAATTAATTAGTAAAATAAGGCTTATTCAACAAATAAGGTGCATGGACCACTATTAATTGAAATAAATACAGAGAGAGCCTTATTTCACACATTATACAAAAAATATTCAGGTGAGTTAAAAATCAATTTATAGAATCTAAGGAGTTTTAGGAGAAAATACAAAATTATATTTTTCTTACCCTGAAGTAAAATATTCAAACCCAGAAGCTATAAAGTAAAATATTGACAATATGACTATATTAAACATTTAAGACTGTACAGTAATATACATATAAAAAAAGTTAATGGACAAGTAATAGAATAGGAAAGTATTTGCAACACATCTAAAAAAGTGTTAATGGTTTTTGTTAGGGAAAAAATTCTACATTTAATAAAAAAGAATGGATAAAGAATACCAAAAAGTCATTTAAAGCTTCTTAAAAATAATAGAAATAGATAAGAAATGTACAAAAACAAGTTTAGTTTCAACAACTAATAAAGGAATAATTAAAATAACATCATTGTCACAATCAGAATAATACATTTTTAAAAATATTGGTAATATCAATATTGGCAACTGTGAAAGGAACTGGGTATTCATAGACTCTTTTTCTTCATTTTCTTAAAGCAGTTCCTTTAGCATATTTTGCAGTGCTGGTTTGGTGGAGGTGTATTCTTTTAGCCTTCTTTTGTCTGGGAAACTCCTTATTTTGCCTTCCATTTTAATTGAGAGCCTTGCTGGGTATAGCAGTCTTGGTTGCAGGCCTTTGATTTTCATGACTTGGAATATTTCTTGCCATCCCCTTCTGGCTTGCAGTGTTTCTGTTGAGAAGTCAGCTGCTAGCCGTATTGGGGCTCCCTTATATGTTACTGCCTCTTTCTCCCTTGCTTCCCTAGGGATTCTCTATTTGTCTTTGATTGCTTTCACTCCTTCTGTTCAACAGAGTATTGAAATTTCTAGCCACAGTGACCAGACAAGAAAAAGAAATAAAAGGCATCCAAACTGGAAAGGGGGAAATAAAACTGTTATTGTTTGCAGATGATATGATAGTGTACATAGAAAACCCTATAGACTCTACCAGAAAAATTCTCAACCTAACAAGTCAATTTGGCAAAACAGTGGGATA